GGCTACTGAATAGGTGGAGGAGGTAGATTCAAACTTGATTTCACATAATTCTTGTAGTAATAGCTCTTCCTAACTGCTTGTTATTTGCTTGATTTGGGTTTTCATTTTATTAAACCGCTCTGTTGGTATCGGATGTCGGGATTTTTCGTTGTACCATATTTTTCGCTATGCCATCGGGTACGTTAGTGGTGGTTCCAAACACAAACACCACTCTAAAAGGACGAAACTGGGCTAGTGGTGGAACTGGGATCAGTACGAGTACTAGTCCCAGGCCATAAGTACCCGAAAACGAGGGGGGGATTGGTCTGGTTTGGCAGGATAGGGGAATTGCCGGAACAGGTTAGTGAGATTCAATCAGTTCGGTAGGTTAACCTCATACTCTCTCAGGAAGGCACCAACGCTTCTCATGAGTTTGCCGCGAGATCCGGATATTGAGGGGCTAGAGGAGACGCTGGGCTTGGAGAGTTTTTATGTAGAAGGGCAGATATTGAATTCATGGCCCGGAGCAGGGGCAGTCATCCGACTTTGTGCAGGCAATTTTGGGCACTGGAAAGAGCGCTTGTTCCAACCCAGGGTCTTGTAGCTTGGCACAGCTGGCCATGGAATAGGTCATGGGAAAGGTTGAAGGGAAACTTGCTTTGTGGGATTCGATTCCCCTGTTTAGGAGCAAGTTATAGAAGACACTTCACAGGTGGTGTCCCGTTGGAGTAAGGTGCCGTTGTTAATACACTCACACCCGTCTATCCCGAACGGTAAAAATCTAAAGAATCTGTTGGGTACAACGGGTTAGTCAAGCATTGTTGTGGAAAAATTCCTGATCCACAGCATTTCATACGGGACGGCGAGGTATCAGCATTATCGAGATCCGGGACAGCGGAGTTTAGGTGTATATCTAACCTGTGTTCCAGGTCGCATACCATGAACTCATGATGTACCGTTGTACTCGTATCCGGGTACACATAGCAACCACTGGTTACGATGGTTACGGGAACAGTTAATTTGAGTCAAATCGGAAAAGCGGTTGGGAGAGAATCCCCCCTGGCACATGCGCTTCCGCGATTTCCCTAATTGCACACCAAACAGGGAGGTTTTTCTGCATCTGTCTTGATCCCCAGATACCGCTAGTGTTGCGGTGGGTTGCGAGGTCAGAACACTAAGACTCTGCCAAGTGCAGGACAGAACCTGGCATTTTCTACTTAATTTTAACGCAAACTATACCGACTTCCCGCAAAGGGGGGGGGTGGAAAGTGGTGTAGGAGGTTATGTCTCTGCGCGGGTGATATGTAAGGAATCCTCATTAATCTACCCACTAGTGCTCTCACGATGCGCACTGTATCATACTTGAAGTGTTTTATAGTCTCCAGAATGTGAAACGAACAAGTGATTCACTTATGGTGTACTCAATGGCTTCACCGCACGCAAACTCGAAGGAACCTACGGTAACATGGGTACAGGGTCCGTAACTCACGGCCCGGAGACTGAAAAACACCGAGTACCAAGCCCCTAAACTAACATCGTTTCAAGAGATCTAGTGAGGGCAACATTCAAGGATCCCTTTGAGAGTATGCAAATTTCAAAGTCAGAATCGCGGACGTCTTCCCGACACTCATACCGTGACAATATCGTTCCCACAAGACTGTTGATAAACAGCCACCGGAAAGGTCCTATTTACGGGCTTAGTAATCACGGTGACAGAATTTCAAACCAGTGGCTTATCTGCGATTGTAGGAATTAAGGTGATCCATCATGAGAATCATGGGGAGAATCGTGGAATATTGGCTGTGGAGCGCCCCCCCCAGAAACCCGAGACGCGAAAAGATTGATTTCAGCTATACCCACCTCCTACGGCTCTGGATTGTCAATTATAATATCTTCCTTTCTTCAGGCGACCAATCCAGCCTTCGGAAAATACGGAGTTTACCCTTTTCCAGACACCTTGCATGACTGATGTGGTTAAAGTGGAAATAAACATGATAGCAAGTTTGGCGGGCGGGAAGTCGGCAGTATGACACCAATCATTCCCCGGTAACAGAAATTTACTTGCAAATGGTATATGGATTGGAATAGTTAGTAGAACCCTCTGATGACCGACCATCCATTAATTTTATCATAAGAACTCATCGTGTATGATCCACAGTACTCGAGGAATACCTTGTAGAGTACCGCTACCTTTTGTGCGCTACCGGTACTCGAGTATGGTCATCCCAACGAATATCCGAGTGTCATCGATGATGGAACCCCGGTTAGCTTCAAGTTTGCCTGTCGGTTGACACGAGTACCGTATCATACGTAGATTGCGTCAAGCCCGGCCGACGTTGTGCCGTACTTGTACTATGTGAGGGCGGGGAGGGGGGAAAGCGCCTCCAGCTTCAGGAAGAATGCGTTTCCGTGACGGTGACTTGAAGCATCTCCAATAACGCGGTATCAATGGTACCGGAGAGTACCATAGAAACCCATACCGTATACCGGTAACCCACCCTCTCCAGGGGCCCCCTGTAAATTGCAGCATCAACCTGCAATAGGTTTAGTCCCCCAGATTAACGGGGTTGCTAATACCGGTTAACGAGATCCAACACATGCCGTGGGCTGATGTTATAATGTTAGGAGAACGTTAACCCGGGTAAACCTTTTGGATCCCATGCTCTTGGCAGAAAACCCTTTCAGATACCCTCGACCGGGATACTTGTACTAGTACAGTACACACCATCGAAAAAGTGAAACCATTGTACTCGTACACAATTACCTTCCCTTTGGCCCATCATAAAACTGCAACAAAAACTTCAAAAAATAAACCGACGAAAATAAGAAATAAACAAAGTCAGTTGTCATATTTTTAGAATTTTCTACAATCAGATGGCGTTTCTATGTGTTGTCCCGCATATACTTAAAAGTGGTAGTCTATGTTTTGGGTGGGTCACACATTGCCAAGAACTCTAAGAAGATTGCCAAACACCTTTGGTATTACCCAGTTCATCTTAAAAAATTGTGGAGAAATTTTTTAAAAATACCAGAAGGCTGTGAGCATTTCATTATTATTTTTCCAGGATTTTTTCTAATTTATTTGCATTTTTGAGCAATAAAAAGATGGGTGGAGATGTGTAAATACTTTGTTGTTCGTTGCAAAGGTTTCACTTATTCGATGGTATACTCGAGTATTTCCGGGGGATGGTATCCGAAAGGGTTTACCGCTAAGCGCATGGTATCCTTATCATACGGTAGTCTACTCAAGTGCGGGTAACCTCACCTCCCCATCCTGCGCTGTTCACCACGCGGCTGATGAAAGGTGTTGAATCAGATGGAACACGATCGCTAACTCTGTTGTAGCAGCTGACGTGAGAAGTGTACTTCGACCACGAGTGGACGAGTCGGTCGGTCAAACGTCTTGGATGGCTTCTCGGCCACGTCTTGAAGAGTGTTAGCACACGCCCCCCCGCCTATCCGATGGGTTCTACTCACTCTTTTCCTTCACCAAAATCACTGCAACTAGCATACCAGTATTACGCTCCACAATTTGAATTACACACACGTATGGTATGGTACTTTCCACCCGACACAGCGCTTGGCTGACTTTTTCCCCACCCAAGGTGCCAATGGCGCGGGATAGAATCAGCCCAATGATTCCCGATCGACCGATCTGCAAACGGGGCACCCCTCCCCCTACGAGAGGCATTTGTTTCAATTCAATGAATATATATATCCAGCTGTGCCAATCAATCTCGATCAACGGAGCAACGAGCAATGGCCGACCTCAACAGTTCCTACGCCTACACCTCCTCCCGGTTCCCTGTATTTTACGACGCCTGGGTGCTTGCCATGTTCGGCAACACCCTTTCGGACACCCCCATATACCAGAAATACCTGCGCAGCTATTCCCACCGGCAAGTCATCCTTGATCTATGCACCGGCACCGGGCGAGTGGCGAAAGGGCTCGGGAAAGACTGTTCCCACAAATCTTTGGAAGATGCGGTAATTTATGGAATCGATCATGCACCAGCGATGGTGCAGCGTGCGCGGGAAACATCTGCACCCAGTCACCCAATGCAAGAGCTTAAGTGGAAGGTTGCCTCTGCCACAGACTTCTGCGAAGCGCTCGATAACGGCGACAAAGTTGATTTATTGATCAATAGTGCCGGGTCAATCTCGCACCTTCCCAATCGCGGGGATGTGCAGCTGTTTCTCGGCCAGGTCAAAAAGTCTCTTCGTCCAAAGACCGGGGTTGCGCTGATCAGTGTATTGACGGAGATGATCCATGGTCCCAAAGAAGACGAAGGGCTTGGGAAGTCTAACGACGGCATCGGGCACGGCATGGGGGCGTTGGTTCTGCCTTGCAAGGACGACGGAGAGGGGTTATTGGGGAATTGGCACAAATCCCCGACAGAGGTGACCTGGAATGGGGACGGGACTGTGAAAACGGATTCGTTTCGCCTCGAACTGCACACAGACGACGGAACAGTAGCTTGGAAGGAGGATCTCCAGTGGAAACTGGCGCGTTTTGACGAGAAGGCTTGGGCAGAGGATGTTGAGAGCGCTGGGTTGAAAATTGTACATGTGGTTCCAGAGGGGGACAGTTTTCAGAGGTTTTATGTCTTGACCAATACCGCCATTTAGCATTTGTGGGTCTTTTCGTAACGATGAACAAATAAAATCGAGAGGTTCTCCGAGAAGAGCACAAGTGAGCGCAGAAAGTAAATCGGAAACCGGGCGCCGGCGGGACGATTAGGTCAACTGTGCAAGCCATGGTGTAAAGAGAACTAGAGCCCACTACTGCCGCCCGTGGTGGAGAGAAACCACGACAGGCTTATATGATTAGAGTTGCTGATCCATGAACAAGTATCGCACTCTCTGCGAACTAATCACACACCAGGACCTGACGCCCAGTCATCATATCTCACTCAGGCCATAACCCTGATCAAGTTCTGTCGCCGAAATCTCATTGCTTACAGCTGGGAAACCCCCATCCATCATCGGGACCACCAGAGGAACTACACACCACTAAAATTAATTCCCCACTATATCCCATCATATGTAGTAAACCTTTCGTTCAGCGGGGATAATCTTTGGACTGTTAGGCACTCCAGGGGTGTGCCATTACCGTAATCTCTGGAGGTCGCTTAGAGTCTCTCGAAGTGACGGGAACCTTGGTACGGGTAGTGACTTCTTGGCCTCTCCCCGTATTGCCGTAGGAATTGGCCGTCTTCATGGCTTAGGCTGCTCGGAGTCGGCTGGTATCTTCCTGTTGTCGATTACCCCCGGATAGGCGATGTGGACTTAATATGATTGGAACATCGCGATTCAAGGTTCGCAATTAGTTAACTGGAAGGCCAATAGCATTCTCGGCATTGAACTACACTTCCCATCCATCTTTTCTGGCCCCGCCTCGTACAGGATCGTCTCATCAACGGCTAGAATTCCCTTCCAAGTATGGCATTATTTTGGTTTTCCAGCATTCCACCCCGTTCCCCGCAAAATTGGAAACTCAGACGTCCTGAGAAAATTCTCTCTTATTAAAGAAAATATGAAGTTGCACTGTACTGTACGATCGTACAATACGTTGTGCGTGCCTCGTGCGGGTCCGCAACGGAGTTCGTTGCCAAAACCGTGCATGAACAGTTTGAGGACAAAAGCCACCGTAGCCACAGTCTATGTGGCTGGTCTATCCTCTCTGCCATAGCCTCGCCAAGACATTCGGTCGATTGGATCCGGTATAGCGAGCAAATGCGGGGGGTTCTCTGGGTTCAAAGCCATAACAAACCCTTCCCGTAACCGACTCGAACAATACTCTCGCTCTTCTTCATCTCTTCTCTTCCCGAACTCAATTCATCACTCAAAGATGCCCCCAGCCCCAGGAAGGAGAAAGGGTCTCACCCCCATCCAGAAATGGGAGCTCTGTTTACTGAGGGCTCAAAATCCAACCATGAAGCTTGGCGAGTTTGCGGAGCTTACCGCCTGTCCAAGGAGACCAGACGGGAGGCCTTTGCCTATTTCAAGTATCTCGGATCACCTGAAGGGATGGGAGGAAAGGGTGAAGCATGGGCCACCCGAAGGTGCGTAGTGTCACCCGATTCTTTGCTCGGGAAGAAAAAAATAAATTCATCAGGGAACACCAACTTGTTTGGCCGTTTAATTGACACTCTTACAGGGACAGATGCGAACAAGGTCAAGGGCCGATCTGCCATGTTTCCTCTGTTTGAATACTTTCTCGTCAGTTGGATTGATGCAGCTGCCGCCGAACACGTTTACATCAACGACGACACCATCCGCGAACAGGGGAAAATAATTCAGAAACGCCTTACCGAGCTGCCCGGATGCAAGGAAAATTACGAGAGCTTTGACATGAGCTCAGGCTGGCTACAAGGATTCAAGCAAAGGCACAATGTTGTTCTCAAGAAAAAGAATAAAGACCTCGTCGATCCAGCCGAAATTCCTGATCACCAGATGGGCATGACCATGCAATTAGAGAAGTTTGCTCCAAGGGACCGCTTCAATTGCAGCGACCTCAGACTCGAGCTCACCAGACTCCCGGAAACGGTTCCCGACAGAAGACGGGTCACCGTTTTTCTCTGTGTGAATGCTGATGGATCGGAGAAGCGGCGGGTGCTTGTCGTCAACAGAGTTGCCACTCCATTGTCATTCAGCCAGGAAAAAGTCAATCCAGCCAACCTTCCAGTGATCTATAGATACAGTCAAAGACCCTGGTATACTGGGTTGTGGTATGACTTCCTCCGTACCTTCGACACGGAAATACGCGCGGAAAAGCGACACGCTGTCCTCTTATGCCAAACTTCTCCATCTTACCCCCCTCCCACACAACCTCCCCACTTCTACAAAGGGCCTCCCCCCCCAGTGTTGACGAATATTACTCTAATATTCCTCCCGTCAAATCTTCCGATGAGCTTACAACCATTAGATCAGGGTATCATTGCATGTTTCAAGGCAACCTACCGGCGAATGTATGTTCAAGCACTAGCCCTCCATCGCACATTGACCGGCACGGCCCGTAGTAAGCTCACTCACCTCGAATGCATCGGTATAATCGCCTCCGCGTGGCAAGCCATACCCCCTCGTACAATTGTTCGTTGCTGGCAAGTCTCTGGAATATGCCAAGATCTTTTACACGAGGAGGTAACCGAGGAATTTAAACCCGAGCGTTATATACATACTCAGGAGTCGTGGTGCGGGCGCTGTGTTCGTCAAATCATGCCACATACACATGGGGAAGCGTTTCGCCTCTTTTGGCAACTGGACGAGAGTCTCCCGTCTGAAGGAATGGCTCCTGATGCCATTAGACTTATTGATGAGGCCGTTGCGGCCGGGGTACTCGAGCACGGCCCCGATGGTATTAACCTGGACGATGTCGAAACCGGAGCGGGTGACCCAATGCCCGAAGAGATTATATCCAGCCAAACGGCCATCAAATATCTTTCTCAGGTAAACCGGTATCTACGCTCATTGCCGGAAACTGAATTAAGAGTGCCGCAAGGGCGCAGCATCGCCACCAGGGGTGCCATAGAACACAATTCCAGAATTATCTCAGGAGTTTTTCAGTATGTGATTCCTCACACTCTAGGATATGACTAACATTTACAGGCACATCGAGAACAACAAGCCGAGTTCCAGAAGAGGGTCTTCAAGGATGGATATAGATGGGCCCGAAAAAGAGTCGTCGCAGGAACAATGGGATACAGAGACGATTAGCCAAGTCTATCCGAGTCTCTTGATGTCTTGAGTCTTACGCGAAGGAATAGGGGGGCTGGTTTGGAATTGATGAATGTATTTCTCAGAAAAAGCACATGCACCAAAGGCGCCCTGGTCTCCTAAAAGCAAATGCAAAAGTACTAGTCTATCCTATAGCTTAACTCGCCATCTTCGATGTATACAATAACTATCTTCTAGGAGCCTACACGGGCGCCATCAATACTACCAAGGAGTCGCTAGGAGCTCCCCGGATAGCATAAGGATTCGCATAAGTTTCCACATTTGCCTCGGTTCACAAATCACGAACCCGACACGAAATACTTGCTACCAGCGTAGGGATATGACTGAAGGTGACAGTCATCTGAGTAGACGCCGGGGTCGTAAAGTCAACTATGAAAAGATGAATACCCCTTGTGCTCCAGCCGGAATAATACAAAGGAAGGTTGACGGAAATGCAAGGATTTTCCGGAGCATTGTAACTTGGATCTTGTGGAAAGGGTAAAAACGATTTGTTTTTGGTGATAGGAAGCTAAACTAAGATAGAGAGTTGGTATATTGGTTAGAGAAATCGTAAAACTTTGGGAAAGAAAAAAGGAGTCGGGAAAGGAAAGGACATACATCTGTCGGCAAGAGTATTGGTGGCCTTATGAAAGCATGGGAGCAAGAGCGTCCCTTTCTCAGCGACTGCGGATCGAGAGGAGCCCCGGGATAGTTAGGGTTAGGGTTTTCATGAGTTTTAAAGTTATGAAACCATACTTTACGCGTGTGATACTTGTAGATTATCAACTCCCCCTTTCTATCAAGCTCTTATTGCGAGACTGGCTAGCTGGATCCGTTTTATACAGCCACGTCCGCGAAGCCCCCTTACTCTTCCAAGCACTGCCAGCCCATGAGGAGGCTTCGCCGGTGTTGGCTTTCTGTTCCTGGTATTCAGCAAAACAGTTTACAATACCCCTGGCGGAATATCCAAAAACAGCCATGTGAAGGGTACTTGTTGTTCCATTGTTAATGGATACCCTTCTTGAAGGTACCGCAAAATCCCGTGAAACACACTGCCAGATTATCAGCGGGAATCAACCAGTGAGCCGGGTAGTTTTAGTTCGAGAGCCTGAAGCGAACAGCTCGCGAGCGCCCGCTGATAAGATCCGGAGATTGCTGGGCCAAGGGAGATAGTGGGTTTTACTAGATTCCTCGGAATTGGTCTTGAGGTGCGAGGAAGGGTATGAGAACTTGACGGAGGTGGCAGTATATCAGGGAGCTATTGGGCTCAAAAAAATTGCCCATATCAGGCCAGCATTTATCCACTTACAACGCTCAGCTCTCCACACAATCCCACATCGTTGTGACCGATAAATAGGCCAGGACCGTGTTGGTGTACCGGTAGTTATAAGTGAGTGTCGTGCCCAAAAGTTCCGTGACCGGGGACGACATTCGTTTTCCGTAATGGCAAACTGGGTGAGACCACGCTGCCGAAGAGTCAAGCGACTTACGACCTATCGGGAGTTCCCCTAGGGTGGTCTGACTCTAGAACCTCATCCAGTCATGCGGAGGTGATAAACACAATTTGGTCCCCGCATGTCCAATCGCTGGTTTGCCCCCAATTACAGAGACCATGCTGGGTGGGTCCATGCTCGAGTGGAGGCGTCTCCGGCGTCTCTACCGGGCAATTGACCTTTGAACCGTCAAGAGAAAAGTCAGGACTAATATCCCTGGGCTTACATATCCTGAGAATATGCGATTGCGCCTCGGGAGGAGTCCTCCCGACTATAAGGACACTAGCCGGGACACCCATCACGAACCAGATCGGTGCCAGAACTAGACCATGGATCGGCGAACTTGTTTCCGAAGGCCGATTACCGGTGCGGCAGTGTTGGAGTCCTGATTCTCTTCCTCCGATGCTGAACTTGAATATTGAGCAGACCATTTCTGGACTTGCCCCTTTTTCCTTGCCCAATCTTGCGCGAGCATGTCTGTGAGGGGCGGTGTGCCATGCTAGTAAAAGCAGCATTCCAATCCTGTTCCGTCCGCGTTCTGCAAAGAGTACTAGCACAAGCAAGTACTGGCAATAAGCTAGCCAGCCCTCGGCTGGCCCTTTCAAGCCTTCGCACTGCCTACTCTAGACCACGAGCCGCCAATCAGCGAACCGGGAAGCGCCACAGTAGGTTTGTTGGGGGCGCACAAGATTCATGACAGCTGCCCGCCCCACGCCTTATTCGAGTACTCGAGTACGGTACCGGTGCTGGTACTAGCACTTGTACCTGTTCCCCCAGCTGACATGGGGATACAGAGCCCACGGGTTAATCCGTGTGATCCTTTTAAGGTTATCTGTGAAACCTAAGACTCAAGCCCTTTAAGCCACGCTTGCGGGCGGATGTTACCATTGCCGCATTGAGCATGTGTCGGCGTTGCCTTCCTTCCCGTGCCGAAGCCACCCATCATGTCTTCACAAAGCTTGTCTGCCCCGAGCAGGGGTTACTGATCCATGTGTGTCATCTCGCTTGACTTGGTTGCACAGCATGGGAGGAAAAGAATCGATAGAACCTCATTCTCGTTCAATTGTCGTGTGTTGCCTGAGTGGAGCCCTGATGGGGGTTAGTTACACCCAGCCTGTGTTATTGTATTGTATTTTGCAAGTACTAGGAGTTGCAGTGGGTACGCCATGCTATATTAGAAAGAAAAGGGAGGAAAAAGCACTTTGAACAGTGTTTCTCATTCGAGGTTACCGGTGTAAGTACAATCCCAAGTGTAGAGTCCATCGTGGAGGAATATCTATAGTTAATATATATACACACCTCTCACTCGCCATCGAAAAGACGCTCTCCTCGTTCGCAGCTCATTCAACCGAGAAATTCATTCATTCCACTCAATTGCACGCAGCCAATAACAGCATCATGCATTACCTCTTCCTTTTGGGCTTTCCCGCATTTACTTTAGCATTTCCGGAACCACTGTCTTACAAGCGCAATGAAGCTCCCCCTAGCAACGGAACCCTATATCCGGGCAATTGCGAATGGGGCCTTGAGGGCTGCTATAACGAGCCCCCGACGGGACGAATCCTTCAATATCTTACTTCCGACAAGTCGCTCACAGTGGAGAAGTGCTTTCAGATATGTTCTGCTTTCGATTATGCACTTGTCGAATTTAGGACCGAGTGTTGGTGTGGGAATGTGGTGAATCCTACCGCGACCCCGTTCACTGGTGAAGGCACTGGCTGCAGACTTGCATGTGCTGGTGATGCAGGACAGCTCTGTGGTGGGCAATCTAAGTATGTAAATTCACCTAGATACCGGAAAAACTGCTGATGGTTTGCTTCAGGGGCCTATTGTATAAGAGAAAGCCAGCGGGTGGTTGCTCTACCACCAGCCCAACTACTACTCCAACGGATACATCTACTTGCGTTGCTGCCACGATCACTGTCACGGACCATGTTACCGTCGATAACCCCATCACTATTCCAACCACTCTGATCGTTACTAATGCTGTGACATCTGACACTACTATATACAATACTATCACGCTCACTAATAATGTTCCTACTACTGTCATCGAGACTGCTGCACCTTCAACTGTTACACAGACTACTCAGGTGGATAATCCAATTACCATTATCGAGACCGCCGCTCCATCCACTATCACTCAGACAACCCGGGTGGATAAGCCGGTTACGGTAACAGAGATTGCCGCGCCGTCAACTGTCACCCAAACCACTCAAGTAGATAAACCCGTCACCGTTACTGAAACTGCTGCACCCTCTACCATCACGCAGACAGCTCAGATCGATAAACCAGTCACTGTCACAGAAACTGCTGCTCCGTCTACGGTCACCCAGACAACACAAGTCGACAAGCCCCTCACAGTCACCGTGACTTCTGGCCCGCTCACTCTAACCACAACCAATGTGTTACCGACAACCGTGATAGTAACCAAGAACCCGTCGGTAAGCACAACTACCACCACCATCCGCACGACAATCTCCAACTGCAGCCCAACTACCCCAACCAACACCAAAAATCCCAATCCAACCTGCATGCCCAGCTCCGCTATCCAAAACCCCTCGTGGGAACAACCTGGCTTCTGGGATTATGACTCCGACGGATATAATTCCATCTCGGACAACTATTCCACCACCTCCTCCTTGGCCCACTCTGGCACACATGTCTACCGTGCGCGAATGAGCAAAGATGGGCATTGGGCCACGGCAAGCCAATACGTCACCCTCTGCCCGTCAACAAAGTATACCTTGAAAGTGTGGACCAAGAGACCTACCCAGAGCAGTGAGTGTGTTGCGACGTTCTACGTTGATGGAGAGATGGTCATCGTCAGCCCTGATACCTCCAGCACCGGATGGGTGGCTGGTACTGGAAACTTCTACTCTGGGGATGGCGGAAAGGCGAGTGTTAAGGTTAAGGTTATTTGTGAGGGGAATTGCGGAAGCGGATATAATGAGATGTTTGTTGACGATGTGGCCATCACACCGGCTTGAGTTGGGGATTATATGGGGGAGAGTGTATGTTTTAGGCCGTGTTCTTAATGCTTGGTTAGGAGAGAATTAATGGGTTATTATAATAAGAAACTGATGCTTATCTTATCTAATCATGTCCGATCGCGGTTGTTTTTTGTTTCTTTTTCCTCCAAATTCTTTTCAATCATGCTTGGTTTGGACTTGGGATTTCCCGCAAAAGTCTTCCTCCGCAAATTGAGGGGTAGAGTGATTTTCTATGACTACATGGAGGGTGAGTATTTATGGTTACCACTATCACTGTGCTTGAGTGCACTCTCTACGTATTTTCTAGCAAATACTATTATGGGTTCCGCGCATGATACGGTGGGCGCAGTCGTAGAGCAACGTTGGCTCCGAGGAAAATCGCCTACGGCACTCCGGTACCGTAAAATCTCTTGGAATCCGCAATCTCCAGCAGCCCCCGGCGAAGGGTTAGTGTTTTCCTGATATAGTACAAGATCAGCCAGCTAGGGGTGCTAGGCCTCGCTAACCGGTATTCGCAATTTTATCTATTAATCAGTAAGAGTAAACCTAACTTATAGTAGGATGGCGGACGGCCGGAGATGGTAGATTCCACGAAATTTTACTGCACAGGACTATCAGAGACACCTGCGGTTGGGTATTGAGGGTAGCTTTCCTCCTTCTTGATTCCTATCGTCGAGTGGGTCAATATGTATATGCCAAATACCCGCCGCATCACCAAAACTGTCTATGAAACTGGCCGTAATCTGCTCTCGGGACATCTACATTCCAGACAGTATTGCACTCTCTAAGAGTTACTGCCAAAACCCATGCACAAAACCCAGACGCACCTAGGGCGCCGCTTGCTGAACGATCGGGAATTGATCCAGACTCATCCTACAAAGGAATAGTTTCCAGGAATCTCTCGGTAACCCCCCAGTACTTCCCAGAGACCTACTTTTGATATCTTGTTATATTGGATTTCTCTAGGACCCTAGAGAGAAGCCAGCCCCCGGGGTTGGTCTATGGGTTCTCAATGCAAACAAGTCCCCCTGTTCACCGCTTTTACTCTTACAATAATAGTGCTTCTGTACTATTGGCCTCCCTATTTATTGTAGGAGGTAGGGTACTGGCACTTAGCTGGTATGTATGGGAGTTACCCACTAGAAAGGGGTTTTCTGGACCTCCCCCTGCTCGAAACATTAACCGCAGACAAGAAGATGTTCCATTATTCTTAGTAGAGTGAGGGACACTTCATAATCCTCCGAGGATTCCCCTCAAAAATAGAAATATCAGGTGGTCTACTCATTTTGGCGGATTGAGCTCGCATCCCTCCCCCCTGGTGGCAGCGTATTCGCCCCAACAACAATGTTTTGAACTGGTATCATACTGCCTTTGGCGGAGATTTGGGATGCCAAGTCTTGGCGCGGGAGCAATACCGTTCCTACCAAAAGCAAGCTCCTGGGGTCAAAACACAATAAATCAGAAGGATGGTGGTATTGCTCCCAGGAGGCCCAGGAAGTTCTCCGGCTGCTTATCATCTCCTATGGCCGGGGATAGCTGCCGAACATTGGTCTTGGGGCATAAAAACGCTTGTTAAGTCGTGACGAATATTACGCAACCCGGCCCAGTCTCGGAACGGCTCGAAATCGGTAACCTACATACCGTACCCTAATCAAGCCTGAGACACCATTAAATTCCGAGGGGCAGCGCCATGATTGCCCGCGTGGAACCTCGCCTTGGGAGTTCCGCAGCCAGAAGCCTCGTTAGCCGCAAGAGCCGCTTCAACTCCCCGACGACCGCGAGTAGTAATAGCTTTACCACAAAGCTACCGCCCTCTGGTGTCGAAACATACCCTAATTTGATCCTCAAAGCCGAAAAAATTTCCAATGGCTCCAAGAACTAAAAATCGAAAACCTCTTGCCGACAAAGAAACCATTCCTTGCGCCGCAACAGATATCACAAACAAGGACAGGGGCACCGAAACCCCAACCAGGCAGCCCAGGAGACCAGCGATGGAAGTCAAGCACGGCGACAGAGCCCCTATGGGTGCACCGTTGGCCAAGATCAAGGAGGGGGAGGATTCCAAAGAACACGCTAGAGTGCGAAGAAGCCTTAGACTTCAAACTAAAACGATTGAACTCGGAGAGGGCACGATAACATCGAGTATATCCACCACAGCGGTGACGCTCAGCAGGGTGAGGGGAGCACATAGGAAATATAGGAAGAAAAAAGTTGAGAGAATTGAGGAAAAGAACGGCGGCAGGATTCCAGCGGGAGTATCAAGACGGGAGTGGCCGCCGCTTACTGCCGAAAGGTTTGGAATAGTACAAGAAGAACTAGCGCATAATCCGGTACTTTTCCTTCCTTACTTGCATACGGTTATATAAAGAGAGGACTAATAAATACCGCAGTTCCATCTCATCATTTCTACAATATTCTTAAACCGGACTCGCGGATGTATAATTTTTACCCCTTGAAATCCTCTCTATGAAATACTAATGCAGCACAGCAGTCGCAAAACCATTCCTCTGGCGGTGCCTAGAAACCTGGCCCACTCCCGAAAAACTCTCCGAAGCATCCCTACCGGAATTAACTGCTCTCATCCAGCCCCTGGGCCTCCACAACGTCCGTGCAGCACGCTTAGTCTCTCTCGCAAAAACCTGGGTCACCCACCCCCCAATCCCCTTCCTGGGCACAATAAAGTACAACTACCCAGCACGAGACACAATACCATTCGCTTTGCCAGAGGAGGACGGACCGGAATGCGGTGTTGAACAGAATCAACGGTGGGAAATTGGACATTTGCCTGGCGTAGGCGCATATGCGTTGGATAGTTGGAGGATCTTCTGCTGCGATGAGTTTAGGGGAAATGACGATAGGGATGAGTGGAAGAGGGTTGTGCCGAAGGATAAGGAGCTGAGAGCTTATTGCCGGTGGAGGTGGGCGAAGGAAGGGATTCGGTGGCGGGAGGAGGCTGATGAGTTCGTGGAGGTTGAGGGTAGGGATTCTATTAGGGAGGGGATTGATGCTAGGTAAGGGTCTAGAGGCGCTGTGTATATATACTTTCGGCCGATCAAGCACCGCAACGAACCGACCATGCGTATAAACGTACCGTAAAAACTCGAATAATTGGACCACACAAAAAGAGTTTAAAATAAGGTGAGGAAACGCGGAAATTGCGTAAAGCTGGAAATCATGCTAAAACAAGCAGCTTTCACAGATTATCAAACAACTCTATGGTCCAGCATTTTCGTTCTTTAGCTAATTACATGGAACTAGATGAATATGAGGATGTACAAATCAATACCTTGAAAGGTCAGTGCTTCCTGGTCCAGCCAATCTGGGGGAAGAAAACCCACTGGGCCCTGGAAGGAACCATCCCATGCAATGGCTACCCTGCTCATGTCCGGTTTACTACAGAAGCAAGCGGTACAGATATGATCAGCAACACCTTTGGAGCTACTCCTTGACTTAAAACTGCAGACCTCAAGCAACCAATCCCAGTTTCCATGGCAGTAAAAGAATCCCGCTGTACTAGCTATAAAACCACAAATGTCTTAATCTAGCTAGGATTGGTCCTTTTCCCTAAATATAAGATACTACTTAGTCATATAGCTAAATTCAATACCCTCATTAGGATGCCATTTCTTACTTGTCCCAAAGTGGTCATCAGATATGGTGAGTCTGTGATAGAATTCACAGACCAGTAAGTCTGAGACTCCTTGTCACAGCCACCCAGTTATGGAGAAGCAATGGGCATGCAGTTTTCGTTGCATATATTGGGTGTGGTTTTCTTAGTTGCATAGTAGGATTGCTTTTGTATTATGAGTGGAGTATGTTGCTGCGCAACGGAACTTGATGGAACCAGGTGGAAGAATCGCAGCTGCGTGCAATGCCAAGAACTTTCTTTTATATTAGTGATCAGGGAGGATGTTCTTTCTTTGTATAAGGGAGTGTGCCCCCTTATATTATACTTTCTTTACAGAATCTCGTAACCTTCTTTAGATACCCTTTCTTTTATTCACACATGGCGACCATGAAACCTTTCTTCTAATACATGAGGGGGAGTTATCTGGATTCACCTAGTAGTTCTGCTGGTTGAAGTTCATGTTAGTTAAGTTGTTGTTTGGCATTCGTTTGGTTGTGGTATTAACCTTGCCTTTCCTCAGCTTGTCTCTATCAAGAGGCTGTATGGGCTAGGGGGCTTTCTGTTCTGCTTAACTGGTCTTCCATTTGGTAAAATGTTTCGGGTTTCCTGTACTTGTTCACGCATAGGATTTTGTAATGGGGGCTCCATCACGAAGATGGTTCTAACGATGTGACTGCACCAAACTTGGAATCTCTGAAAAATAGCTTTTACATTGTGTAAAGGATAAAAGTAAACAGTAAAACTTAATATTGTTAAAATTGGACTTATCTCAATTAAAGTCTCGTGAGAAGATATTGATGGTATCAGGGTAGGAGAGTTCTTATATAATCTTTAAGCAGTCAGACATATACTAAAAACTCTCCCATCAGGTTATCCTGACCAACATGAGTATAGCTTTCTCCATAAGGGTTGCTCGGCACTATTACTAAGTTCCCAAGGGGCCTAAGATGTTAGCGCACTCTAGCCATAATCTCCTATATGCACATCCGTTCTATAACGACCCTACGTTATAGAGGTATGGTAACCTACGTCTATGCCCATACATAAGACCAAGAGGTCAGATGGTAGACGAGGCGGATATGGAGGCGCATATCCGCGGGATATCTGATGGTCAGGATATCTCTAAGGACCGAGGGTACTGAAGAAAATGGTGTACTCAAGTAGTGGTAGTAACGTGACAATGTCCGCTCTGGCCTAAGGATAGGACAGAAGGCTGGGTGAGTTTACCCTGTCTAAGGAAGTCACGTTACCCTACCATGGAGACCGGTTTCGTGTCACCATGGACATACTTACCCTACCTTTGGGACACTATTACCCTACCTTCCGTCGGAAACGTTCACGGAAGAATTTTGAGAAATGTTAGGATTGTTTGTTACGCAACAACGATCGACGGACACTTGTTTGCACTTTGATCGGAAGGCTACGGGAGGAGCTATAGTGCTCCAAACAAGCTGTAACTTGGTAGAATTATTCCTAACAGGTACCTGCGGCCCCCGGGTTTGCCCCAGGCGTCATGGGTCAAGATGGGTGGAGTTGCCATCTAACTAGTTAAATGGAGTACATGAAGACATGTCCATAACACTGTATACATCGCTGCCGTCCGTCCGACTGGACGCTGTTCACAGGATATATAAGGGGCTGAAGGTGAGAAGGTCAGGTACCTTCTCCAAAAAGAACGGAGTAAAATGGACCAAAACTGACGGAGTTAGCGTGAGCTATTCAGAAGGGTCCTCAGAGTAGTCCTGGGTAGTGCTGGAGACATCTGGGAAGGTTTTACGCCAATCAAGCCTACACGTGCCCCTTTGCCGTAGGCTCTTTGTGGGTTGCTTGAAGACTCTAATAGCATGATACTTATCAGGCTAAGTGGTGTGCCGGGGGTAAGGGACCATGGGTAGCGCCCACGGGTCCCGCCACTGACACAGCTCGACATGGGAGCGCCATAGACCCTCTAAGTTTGTATTCAAGAAAGATAGAGCTTAGCCGGGAGACAGGTGATGTCTATGGGAGCTTGCATAGGTCATAGCACATGGGAAGAGAGCCATTTAGTTAGCTTTCCTAGGAGTCTCAACAGTTAGCCACTGACGAGACACCAATGCACAGAGGTTTTCACTCCGGCAGGTGTATTGGTAAACACCTCGCAGGAACTGATGTGCATATAGGAGAATTCTGCCAGAGTGCGCTGACACGTTAGGCCCTTTGGGGACACGGGAATGGTGCCGGGGCAACCCTTATGGAGAAGGGTATACTCATATTAGTCGGGGTAACCTGATGGGGGAGTTTTTGGTATTAGTCTGACTACTTAAAGATTATACGAGAACTCTCCTACCTCGACACAATCAATATCCTCTCGAGAGACTTTAATTGAGATAAGCCTGAGCTTAACAATATTAAGTTTTACCGTTTACTTTTATTCTTTACACTTTTGCAAGAGCTGTGTTCCAGAGATTCGAAGTTTGGTGCGGTCGCATCCTTAGGATCCATCTACCTGAGGGAGCTCCCGTTACACATTCATACAAGGTACTAGTAATTATCAATATACCTGCGGGAGTGAAAACATTTGCACATCACAGTGTCATCAGTGGCTAACTATCAAGACACCTAGGAAAGCTAACTAAATGACTCTGTTCCCATGTGCTATGACCTATTCAACACCTGTAGACATCAGCCCTCTTCTGGTTAAGTTCTATCTATCTTAACTGCCAGTGCAAACTTAGAAGGTCCACCACGCTCCTCCAGAGAGCTGTAGTGGTTGCGGGACCCATGGGCGCTACCCATGGTCTCTTACCACCTGCACACCACTTACCGTAATCAGAATCATGCTAGTTGAGTCCTCAAACAATCCACAGGGTGCCTACGGCAATGTAACAGGGGCTGCCTCAGGTAGATGGTTCATAAGGATGTGACTGCACCAAACTTCGAATCTCTCAAAGAGAGCTCTTGCCAAGTATAAAGAATCAAAGTAAGCGGCAAAACTTAATGTCATTAAGCTCTGGCTTATCTCAATGAAAGTCATGCGAGAGGATACTGATTGTGCTGGGGTAGGAGAGTTCTTGTATAATTTTGAAGTAGTCAGACTTATACCAAAAACTTTCCCATTGTCACAAACTGTAACTAAGGTGGGCAGATTTTACATAGCTCAAAATATCGAGCTATAGGTATGTTGGAATTTCACATGACGGACACTATATCCTCAGTCTCTGCTAGACCTCCGTCGATTGAAAACTCAACACTATAGTTACTATGGTGGCTATCATCGTCTAGCACCACCACCGCCCCCGCCATCTCCCTCCATCTAGCCTCGGCTACAGGAGGTGGGCTCGCTTCCCCTCTCCCTTGGGGTCCTGATTTATTTCTTGATTCCCTCGGTTCCATCCCTGGTTGAGGCCTCTCATCTTCATGATGTTTCCCCTCTTCCTACCCCGCCTCGCTTAGGCGTTGGCATGGTCGGCAACCCCCTTTTCCACCTTCAACAGATGGCCAGCACTACAGTTGCAGCAGGAGAGAACCGCTTACAGGCTACAGTCGATCTCTCCATTCTCTTGCCCCGGCAAGAGGCTGCCTAGTCGGACACAAATGCGGTTACCAATAGTTGTGGTTCACGGAATTGGGTCTACCCGTCCTCTACTCTTTGGGGCCTTTTTGGCTGGCAGGGGGTGGGATCCCTTCCACTACAGTGACGCTATTTCTCCCAGAACACGGGACTACATGAGAGACGCAGTAAAACACCTGCTTCGCTTAGGGCTCCTCTCCGCAGTTGGATTGGCTTGTACCCTACTACCACCTCCTCTCAAGCTGGCACCTTGCCGCCTCAATCGTCGAATGTCCCGGATAACACACGGTTGCTGGCACACCTGCCACACACCTCCTCTCCTCGCTTCTCGGTGGCTGCCTTCAGGGTGGTTTCCCTTATACCCTATGCGCTCAGGGCTTCGGCTCCCTCCTCCCGGCCCTCGTCATATGGCCTAGGGGTTCCTATGATGGATTTGAGTTGTGGCCATTGGCCCTTAGGGGTTTGGTTTGGGTTTCTGTCTGTAGGTGTTTAGCTCTTGGGGTTAGATGTGTTCTTGGTTCACTGTAGGGTAGCTAGCTTTCTTTTCTCGCTTGGCGGTGGGGGTTATTGGTTCGTGGTCTACGGGAAGGATTTCGGGCCGGAGTAGTGTTTTCTACTCGAGAGGCTTTTTTTAGCTCTGTCATTCGGCCTGGTCCAGGGGGGGGCGGTTTTTTACGCGTCATAGCTAGCACTCCATATGCCTTTTTGTCCCATAAACAAATAATAAAATGAGTCAAACAAAAAAAATAAAACATCACATGATGCACACTAGTGTGCCAGAGGTTAATATGTTTACCTGTTCATGACTGTCACAAACTGTGACAAAGCAAGGCAGATTTTACATAGCTCGGATTTCCAAGCTATAGGTATGTAGGGATTTCACATGACGCACACTAGTGCGCCATAGGTTATTATGTTTACCTGTTCATGACTCACAGTTGTGAGTCACACGAGGTTATGATTTTCGCACATGACTCACAATTACGAGTCATGGGTTTCACTCAGGTGACGCGAGTTATGCACCTGACTTAGTTAGTATAGTTTGATTGGTTTTAGGAATGTTGCGCAGCGACTCATAGGAGTTGGCTGATGGATTTCGCATGACTCATAGTTATGAGTCACAAGGTTCGCGTGATGCAT